ATTCCCAATATCTGATCTAAACCTGTTCTTTTTCAGTATAAAGCCATTGACTTTATCCTCCCTGATAAGGATATTGTAGTTTAATTGTGTATTTCCTGTTCCATCCAGGAGCAGGGATAATTTTCACAGCCTAAGGGATGCTGGGCCCTGGCTCTTCAGCCAAACCATTTTCCTGGGAATTATCTCCCCATTACACTCCTGTGCCTGAAAACTGTCCAGCTCCAGTCCCAGGTATCCCCCAGAGCCTGTCCATGCAGCCCTTGGGATTTCTCACAGATGGGCACCTCTGTACGTAACCAAGGTGACATAAATAAAGGACAAGGCTTGGTTTAAAGTGCAGAAGTCTTGGTTTACCAAGGTCCTCCCAAAATATTCTCCTGCTGGATGGCCCCAGGTGGGTGAACTCCTCCTTTGTCAGCTCTTCAGGACACTGCCAGTGTCACTCCTCATGATGAACAGGCTTTGAGGGGGGGTTTTAAGCACTCAGTTTATAAATATTTCATTTTTCTGTAACAGGCACTGTAGATATGCAGCCAATCATGCACATCGCATTTACCTGGTGTGAGGGAAACCAGGATTTGGCAGCTCACAGAGCCTGGTCAGCACTTTATCCTCTGAGCCAGCACCTCCTGGCCCCACTTCCACCCTGAGATGCCTGATCCAAGCTTTCTGCAGCTTTGCAGGGAGGGAATTTCACTCCAAGAGGAAGCACAACAAACAAAGGACTGATAGAACCACTGGCAACCCTGGAATTAGTAAAAAGCTCAAAAAAACCCAAATTCTTTTCTGTTATGAGGGGGAAAAATTCTACATGTTTTATTTGAGTTCTAATGACAAATTAAAATGTTCTGAGAACAACAGCTCCTCTGGAGCATGGGAAAGCTTCTTCCCCACAGGAAAGTCATTCAAACGAGAGGTGGGAGAGGAGAGAACTGATGAAGGATCCTCTGGAGCAAAGAGGAGCTCACTGCAGACAGAGCCCAAACTCCAGAAGACTTGAGAAAGAAATGAGTCTTTATTGAGATTTTTAAAAAGAATATAAAAGAAAGCACTGTTCCAGAGAAAATATCACAATCTGAGGGAATTACAGATTAAATTACTCTGATTTTTAATTATTAACCTCTCAGTGCAGTTCCTAACACTGGCAGTGCTGAGATCCCTCCTGCCTGAGAACCCATCCCGAATGTCTTCTTTCTCTAAAAGCTCTTTCCTGGCATTTTATGGAGCAGGGATTTGCAGTTTTGAGTTAAAAATTCAAGTCCAGGCCATGCTCTGTTGGAAGGCCACCCTGAGGATTTTGTGGATCCCCAGTGCCTGCCTGGGGTGCAGGTACCAAGATAGGGGATTTGCTGAACGTTCCATTAAGGAGGAGTCCATAGAGCCAAGAAAGGCCAATTAAACATTGAATTTTCTTGTGTGGAGAGCTCTCCAGCTCTGCAGGAGCCAGGAGCCTGTCTGTCACAGGAACCTTCCCTTAGGCAGCAGCAGAAGTGACGTGTGAGGACTGAAGGAAGCGCCGGAATCCTGAGCAGGCATCAATTAATTTGGAGCTGAATGGGGAGTCCTGGGAACATCAGAGGCAGGATTCAATCTGTTGGAAGTGGGTGGCAGCTCCTCTGCCATGCTGAGACAGGTTTGTAAAGAGGAAGTGTAAAAATAATAATAGGGGGAAAAAAATCAGCAGTATTTCATTTGCAGGGGCTGAGGAGCATTTTCAACTTGGTCTGCAGCTCCTAGGAGTTGCAAAACTCCAGTTTGGGTGCTGGAAAATCTTCTCTGCTGAACTCTGCAGGTGCTGCAGGACATTCAGGGCCAGGTTTTACTGGAGGCTTGGTTTGGGGGACAGGGCTTTGCAGGAGATGCTACTCAAGGGCTGCTACCAAGGTTGCGATGATGGATCAGATGTGAGTCAGAGTTTGAGAGATGCTGGGTGAGAAAATTCCACCAGCCCAACACCCTGGAGCAGTGGGAGGTGTCCCTGCCTGTGGCAGGGTTGGAATGAGATGAACTTGTCCAAGTTTAGGGCAAATTTGGTAGAGAATCTCCAAAGGGGCCCCTCCAGAAAGCAAACCCACATGGCCCCTGTGCCTAACCAGGTTGGGAAGGATTCCTTGGAGACAGGTGGAAAGAACCTGTTTATTGAACAGGCACAACACTGTTCAAACACAGAACCTGTTGATTGAACAGGCACAGCAGCCCCAGCACACAAAAGGAACAATACCAGGTGACGCCACTCTGTCACCACTCTGACAAAGATGACAAATTCAGAAAGTCTCTCTGGGGGTGGTCGCTCTGTTCTCAGTCCCAGTGCTGGGGCAGCTGCTGCAGCCACAAGGTGCAAACTCTCGCTGTTCCCAGGGCCCATCCGGAGCAGGCTGGGTCGAACAAAAAAAGGAAAGGAGAAATAGTCCAGGAAGAAATATGGACTGTTTAGCTAAACTAGCTAATGAGCAGAAGCAAAAGAAAGCAGGAGCAAAGCAGAAGAAAGAGCGAGAGAGCAAAGCGAAAAGCAAAAGAAAAAAGCAAAAGCAGCACCATGTACTGCCCTGTCTCTTTGTCCTGCCAGGCTGATAAGAAAACCCAAACAAAACTTTCACTCTTCAGAGCCAGTCTGGAAGGCACAGAACATGATATCCAGCATAAACAGAACACAGGAATGGGAATACAAGCATCATAATGTCACACTAGGAGAAACTTGAAGGTACTTTCCGAGCCAAGCCATCCTGGGGTTCCATGATTTTCCTCGGCCCTAAACTCACCTCTGGACCTTCTGGTTGCTCAAGCCCAGTCCCTCAGCCCTGGAGATGGCCAAGGTCTCCCTGTGCTGACAGCAGCAGGTCCAGCACTCCAGAAGGCCCTGGAGCACCTTCAGAGCAGCAGACCCTGCTCAGTGACAGCTCCAGGCACAGGGGGCCTTGATGGTGGTGGCTCATCCAGGGCTGCAGGGACTGAGGGAATTTGGGACTGGCTGCCTTCAGGACAAGGTTCAATGCAGCTGTTGGAAGGATCTATGCCTGCCGGGGCATCCCTAATCCCTGTGAGATCCCACAGGAGGAGATTTACCTGTGGTAACCACATATCCTCTGAACAGAGAGAGACACAGCTCTTCCAGGATTTTCCTGGGAAGCTGTCACAAGCTGTGGGAAACTTAGAGAGAAGAATTCAAACAATTATTGTCTCTCTTTCTGTAACTGTTGTTTGTAGATATGGCTCTCCAAAGTGTGCTATTGATAGTTCACCAATAGTGTGAGAGGTTTTCACTTTGAGAGCAATCAGGTCAGACTATGAAAGTCACACCTTTTCCTAATAAATGATTCTATTTCACCTTCTGATGACTGGAGTCTCTCATTCAATTCCTGACTCAACAGCATCGCTCACCCTCCTCTCCACACTGCAAATCCCACACTTACAGAGCCACGGATGCACTGGAGATCATGGAGCCAAGAGGGAAGCAAGGACGAGGACATGGGCTCTGTGCAGCAGCTCAGTGCAGAGGGATGTGTGTTGTGGTGTGATTTCAGGGTTTACCTCAGAGCCCTGGATTTCTCCCCTGATAATTCCCTCCCAGATGTGTCAGTCACCTCTCCTTTCCCCTCCCAGCACTGTCTGTCAGTCCTGGCATTCCAGAAGGGCCTCGAGTGATTGGCAGATTCACAGGATGCCCTCTACCCCTGGGGGACATTGGGCCATCCAGGTGTCCTTTGTCCCTTTGTCCCTCCCCTCCTGTCCCTCCTTGGTGGCTCCCTGCCCCTTCCCTGCCCCTCTCCCCGGGGTTAAAGGAGCAGCAACCACGGGCTCAGGGAGTTCTGTTGGAGCTGGTGCTGCATTCAGAGGCCTGTGGGCCAGAATAAAGCTCTGCATCCAAACCCTCCATCAGAACCGACTCCTTTCCTTCACCATCCCCTTAAAGCTTCTCCACAGAGAGAAACCTGAGGAGCAGCCCCTGTTATGGGGGAAAGCTCCATCCCAGCACCACCAGAGCTCCTGCAGGCCTGGAATTGTCTGTACGGGCCCAGTGCAGCACCCAGGCAGGCAAAAGTGTCTGTGGGTGAAACACCACACACCCAGCCAGCCAAAAGTGTCTGTGGGGTGAAACACCACACACCCACCAGCCAAAAGTGTCTGTGGGGTGAAACACCACACACCCAGCCAGCCAAAAGTGTCTGTGGGTGAAACACCACACACCCACCAGCCAAAAGTGTCTGTGGGGTGAAACACACACACCCACCAGCCAAAAGTGTCTGTGGGGTGAGACACCACAGTTGCTGCTATTTGGTTCAGCAGCAGGGCCAGACAAGCCCAGGCACATCCTGTCTGCAATATTGGTAATACCAATGGATGTGCCTGTGCTTTAGGGCCTTGCCTTTATCCCTGGGGTGTTTTGTTCACCTCTGAAGGCCACATCATAAAAATAGTGTGAGGTAAGAGAGTGTTGGGTCCACCCACACTGGGTGCAGTGGAGGGGCCACTCCAGGCTCATCTTCAGCCATGTGCCAAAGGTAAAAACTTCCTGGTCCTTGCAGATTAGGACCAGGAATACTTGGTCAGGTTCTTGGCCCTAATTAAGTAGGATGGGGACGAAGCCATTATTTTCCATAAAAGTGATGGTGATTTATTTGTAGTGCTCAAAACTGCAAATCCCAACTCCATGAAATGCCAGAAAAGAGCTTTTAAAGAAAGAGGACATTTGGGAGGGGTTCTCAGGGCAGGAGGGATCTCAGCACTGCCAGTGTTAGGAATTGCATAGAGAGTTTAAGAATTAAAAATTGGAGCAATTGAATCTACAATTCCCTCAGATTGTGACATTTTCTCTGGATCAACACTTTCTTATATTTTTTTAAAATCTCAATAAAGCCTCATTTCTCATCATAATAAAATTTAGCTCTTTTTTTGAAGATTTTTACCAGCTCCACCTACTGCTGCTCCCGTCCTCTTCAACACTTCCTGACTCACTGCTGCTTCCCCTCCTCCGGACGGGGATTGGGAAGCTGCTTCCCAGCAGAGGTGGGTGCATCCTCTCCTCAGCCAGGTCTGTGATGGTGAGCAGGAAAAAGCACAGGAACAGGCTTGGCTCTTCCTTTGTGGAGAGGGGCACCGGACTGGAAGGAGTCTGGAACTGTCCTGTTTGGGGATGTTGACAGGATGGCTTCAGTGTGTTTCCCTTCAGGAGAGGGTCCTCAGGTTCAGCATGCTCTGGGATGAGCTCTTGGTCATTCTCCAGGGATGAATTCTTGGTCATTCCCCAGGGATGAGCTTTGGTCACTCCCCAGGGCTCTGGCTGTGTTTCCAAGGGAATGTTTCTCCCTGAGGTTTCTCTGGGTCTCTGCAGGTGACCCGTGCCTCCGATAGCAACACCCCTAGGGCTTTCTCTTCCTTTGCATTTCCAGTCCATGTTCCAGCTCCAGGCTCTGAAGTCTGGCAATCCACTGGCACTTTCCTTTCTCCATTTCCCATTCTGTCTCCACAGAACTCCACATCCTGCAGAGGAGTCTCCCAAGCTCTCCTGATCCAACAGAGCACTCTGAAACACAGATGTTTTCTTTTACTTCACAGCATTAAAGCGGGAGACTCCAAAGGGCAAATTGCTGGATCCAGGTTCTGGATCAACAGGAGTTCAGAGAGTCATGGATCTGTTCCTTGAGGCCATGGAAAAAGGGATTCCCCAGACAATTAAGAAGGAATTGTTCCCTGGCAG